GTTGGAGTTCACGGCTGAGATGCCATGATTGCTTTATGGTCCCTACTCGAGTTTTTAATGGCCGTGAGTATATCATCGTTGTCAGTTCGTGGCGTGACGATTTCTAGAGCATTTTTTCGGTAAAAATAGCAACACAGATTACGAATCCGAGGTTCAGAAAAATATGACTCAAACAGTTCACGACGCACGCGGTTGTCAGCCCTTGCAAGAATATCGGCCTCATCAAATTTGAAGCTATAGCCGAGACCTGTCGCGTGGGCTGCAACATGGAAGTAAGCGTCCTCACTTCCCATTGCTGCCACATGATCAGCCATTTGCTTGTTTGTGCACAAGTGCACCAGATTTGCCAACCGACTCCAGTTTGTCGGGGGCGATTCGAGACTTCGGAAGTTGGTAGGAAATGTACGTGCAGGTGTTAAGAAGCAGTGCTGTTATGGGGTAGCAGTTTGGTCCTGGTGGTGACACTCTCGCAGAGATTATGTTCAGCATTCAACAATAATGTTTGAATGATGCTGATGGTTACAGTGTTCGGGGGATGCAGTGTGGTCTAAGCTTTGATTTCAGAAGATACATGCATTTTAGTCTTACCCAATCCCCGAGTTAAGGTTTCGTATTATCGCAAACTATCCAGGGGCATGTAATGAGCATGCAATTATTCATTCTGAAGAATCCAGTAAAACTGTGCACTGACAATTTGCGCATAAGTTATTCGCCTAATAGTCGAACCCTAGCCTACAGCAGTACACTGTCAGCCAACGGGGCTGTAAACAGTGTATTTGCAAACACCTGATCACCACGGGCTCAAAGCTGATCGGTGTGAATACCTAAGAAGAGTGCAGATGCAGAATATTCGTCAAGGAAGGAATCGAACCACCAACCAGTTACGCGGAGATTTGATAAAACCTTCCGTACCGTGCGTGGCTTGGACTGCGCTCTCATGTGTCACGATTTTTTTCAATTTGCCACTGCAACTAATCTCGCGGGACATCCCTTCAAATTGTATGTGCCCCAAGGACGAGTGGATGTGAAGAAGTATTTTTTCTCTAATCAGGTCGTGGACCCGTGGAATAATCTACCTGAGGTGATTGTCATGGCCCAATCTGTGGAACTATTCGAATATCGACTTGATAAACACGTGTTACGGCACAACGTAAACTATGTCACAAATTAACCTTGAAACACCACTGCATCATGTGACGGTCTATATTTTCCTGACTGAAAACTTGTTAACATTGTTTCTAATTATTTTCCTTAGATGTGAAATATAGGGAGTTCAAGAAGCAAGCCTGTTTTTTCCTCAAATATACTGACTGACTGACTGACTAACCATAGTCCACTAGCAATGCACAACCGAAATATATGTTGGCTTTAGTCAACTTCTAGCGTGCGAAAATTTTTTAAGTACCCTAATGTTGCTTCATAATAAAATTGCCTGACAGTGCAGTGTTTGAATCGAATTAAGTTGGGAGGAATACACTCGGTAGAAGCAAATTAATTCATTTCAGTTGGTTTCGGTGAACTAGGCCGCCTGGTGGTAGCCCATTTGTTAATTCTTTTTCTTTGGACTAGGCCATCCCTAGCCGCACGTTGCGGCTAATGGCTGGGATAACAAAAGGTGGCCCAGTCCACTACCGTTGTCTGACAACGAGGAAAGTGAAGTTGTTTTCTTGTGGGACGTTTTAAAGAGGTTATTCACATAGCTAAAAAAGTGAGGGAATCCACCACATAAACCTAAAGTAAACCGATAGGATCTGGGGAAGCAAAACGCGGAAATAATTTGTGTAAATTGACTTTTGCAGAGCTCGAATGTGTTTCGACTTGTGTGGCATCTTGAATTCTTTTCAAGGTTTCATTGGAAAACAAAGTGTCAATTTAATATAAGTAAATACCTTCTCATTTTTAGATAAGGAAAATTAATGCTAGACACATTCCATCTTTTCTTCCTCCATATTGTTCACGCTGCATGTAAAATTAAATGGCTTTTCTTCTCTTGTTCTGTTGCAAGCTTCTCGGTGGATTGCATCCAGTCCGGGTCAACGAAGCAGACGAGGAAGAGGCCAAAACAACGAATGAAGAAGATGCTGGCGAAGTTCTTACATTTGACGTTAACTAATTTGTGACACAGGATGTGTCTCCTTCCTAACAAACACTTCCCCTCACACCTTATGTCAATCCATGATTTTTCTATCATTTTTTTCTGTGTTCTTACGGCGCTACTTCCACATACGAACAAACTTCTATGCGTCTGGGAAAAGTTGATAGTAATTTTCGTTGTGTACATGATATTAAGTGTATTTTTGTATGGATGCAGAAACGCTCAGAAAAATTGTTTGACCAACGTTGTATTGTGCGATGTGCGATGTTTAAGATCAAACAAGCAGAAGCCGTTTACCGGGCTTTGCTGTTAAGTTCCCTTAGCAGTTATTGTGCTGAGTTATGGACGCCGATTGTGTCCGCTTAGGGGACGAATTTAAGGCTGTCGCCCGCTTCTTCGTTTCTAATTCCGAGCAACTATTTTGCCGTGCGCCTCACGGAGTGGGTGCCTGTTGATCTTCTATTATCTTTATGAAAGGTGCAGTAATCCAGATCACATTTGACATACGTTTCATAAACACTTTTAATATCGATGGCTTTAGAGTTTCTGAGAATGAACCCAGTAGTTCGGCTTGCTCTCAAGACCGTCCTCCAACAAATAAAGACCATTGGCATATGACTTAGGTTCGATGCAGTCATTTTTAGATATCAGTGTTGTAAGGTACATAGAAGTAATGATTCCAGGGTAGCTGCAGGCCCGTATACCGGCAACAAATCCTAGGAATATATGGCAGGGGCGCATGAATATAGCAGGGGCTTACTTGGTGTGTAGCTATTCAAGGCGGTTTTCCATTGATGAGGAAACGTCTATTCCAGGGTTGATTCTGCAAGGTTCCCAAGGCTCAAGATAACGCAGCCTCGGTTGAACATCTGAAACGTCCTCAAATGTTTTCTGCAACTGGCATTGGGACTTCCATTGCACGCACTAAAAAGGCGTTACATCACAACTGATTTTGTGGAGTAACCGAAGTGATCCGTTGGTGCAACAGCCAGAGATTATACCATATAATCCAACTGAATCAGCCGCGATTGCCAGAATTTGCGCCTGATCCTCGTTTTATGGCTAGTGATCCGCCATGTGGGACGCACGTCCTGTATTTTGCCCAATTTGATTGGCTTACGTACAGGTGCTAGTGGTGTGCGGGTTTTATGTATTCCTTAGGCCAGCTTCTTAATTATGCAGTCTGTGCCATTTACACAGCTGCGATGTGGTCACTACTTCGTAACCTGCCCCAAAGAAGGTCCTACATGCAATTTATTGAAGCAAATAACAGGCCAGCAAATAATGATAACTACAAAATCTTCTATGCAACCAGGTGATCAGAAGGTACTTTACAAAAATAGCACAGGGGACGTCTGGCAAAGGAGCTCAGTACAACAAGATTATATGAGGTGTGGGTTTTCGATGAACGGAAAACTAAGTTACCAGCAATTCTGCAGGAGGGATAGAGATTGGGGCAGTTGTCCAGGTCCTGGAGGTGCAATGAACTGCTGATGGTAGGACATCAAAAACGCAACGACTGAGAGGGAGTAGGCTCTTCGACCCCTAAAATACATTTCCTTCGCTGTAATTGTGAGTTTTAGAAAGTCAGAGATCATTCAAACCATGCCATATTGACGGATACATGTGGTGGGGAAGAACTCATAAGAACCAGATTATAGGGTTATTATTAACTTATTCTTGTTTCCCTCAACCAAGAATTCTATACGAATAAAATATCGGCACTCGAATTGGATTGGATGATCTGACTGCCGGTTATTTTGCGCGACCAAACCTAAATAAAAGATAGAAGTGGACACAGGGGAAAGCATAGCACACATTAATAGGGGTAGACGAAGGGACAGCAGACTTCGAGGATGCATGCAGTAATTAACACACCCTCAGTTTGAAAGAGTTCAGCGCAGACATGAATGAATGGAGTTGTTACATAAGGCGTCGTTTGAATACAGACAGTGAGTTAGACCTACGTAAATTTTAA